CCGCGTCCCTCCTCTGCAGCGCGAGGATGCAAACGGGTCTGTGTGTTTACCGCGGGACCCCCTGAGAGGGGAGACGGGGGACGGGTGCGTCTGACTGAGACCGAGACGTTCGACGGCGAAGCTTTAACTTCTCTGATGAAATCATTCAAGTGATGCCGCACTCAAAATCTGAAAGCGTAGTTGTGGTCCTCCGGCGGGCGACTATAGGCGAGTCTTTGTTTGGGAGGCGCGTTGTGTGGCAGCAGAGTGCTGTGCTGCTGCCATCAGATGGAAACAGACGGAAACAAGATGCCCCACATATCCGTCTCATGGCACGGTTCTCTTTGGTTACACATCAAATAGTAATGGAATTATAATAGAAAATAAACTTCTGGTATCTGCGTTTATTATCAGCCGATTTGCATTTCCAGGTGTAGGAACTGGACCAAGGAATAAGATATAAATCCATCCCGTACTCGAGCACCAACGACGTTACTGTGTGTCCCGCACACGTGTGATCAGCACATTTAGATCCGTCCCGATTCACTGGCCTAGTTGCCATAGCAACCTTCACACGACATGTGATCTGAGGGGGTGAAGCTCGCTTACAACCCAACCGTCAGCCACACCTCAAGTCTTCTGAAATATGAGCATCCCGTGTCACGCATGTGCCGTGTGCTCTGCCGCCCCGGTGGAGGTCTTGACAGCGCGTGTGACAGTGGTCACCATACCGTGTGACAGTGGTCACCAAACCGTGTGACAGTGGTCACCATACCGTGTGCAGTGGTCACCATACCGTGTGACAGTGGTCACCAAACCGTGTGACAGTGGTCACCATACCGTGTGCAGTGGTCACCAAACCGTGTGACAGTGGTCACCAAACCGTGTGACAGTGGTCACCAAACCGTGTGACAGTGGTCACCATACCGTGTGCAGTGGTCACCAAACCGTGTGACAGTGGTCACCATACCGTGTGCAGTGGTCACCAAACCGTGTACAGTGGTCACCATACCGTGTGACAGTGGTCACCAAACCGTGTGACAGTGGTCACCATACCGTGTGCAGTGGTCACCAAACCGCGTGCAGTGGTCACCATACCGTGTGCAGTGGTCACCATACCGTGTGCAGTGGTCACCATACCGTGTGCAGTGGTCACCAAACCGTGTGGCAGTGGTCACCATACCGTGTGCAGTGGTCACCAAACCGTGTGGCAGTGGTCACCATACCGTGTGCAGTGGTCACCAAACCGTGTGGCAGTGGTCACCATACCGTGTGCAGTGGTCACCAAACCGTGTGGCAGTGGTCACCATACCGTGTGCAGTGGTCACCAAACCGTGTGCAGTGGTTGCAGGGATCAGGAGGGCTTCAAACCGACGGCGAGGAGACATTTCCGACCGACAGGACGTCGCAAACACAAGACGTCCCATCAGTTCGTCCACATCTGCTTCGTGGACCAACGCGCTCGTGCTGCTCGTGGTTGTGTCCTCTGGCACGAGAGCGCGTTTCAGTCGGACCACCGGGGTGTTTTCCGCCGCTTTCTCCTGGCGGGCTTTCGGGCCCGTTTTTGCGTCACAGCCGGCGGCCGGCATCGCGGTTGAACGGTCCGCTCTGGGTCACTGCGCCCGGACCCCAGGTGCATGCGTGCGTCTGTCTCCAACGGGCGGCCCGGGCGTGTTTTTGTCCTCGCCAAGTCGCGGCGGACGGGGCGGCATTCGTTTTGGCGATAATGGCGATAATGGCCCAGACGCCCCCACCCCCTCCCCCCCGTGAATGGCCGTTACTGTGCAGTGAATGGGACGCATTCACCCTCTGCCGTCCCACGTTGTCAGAGGTCACGGCCGCTGACCTCCGGGACGGAGGCCGACTGCAGAAGCCGCTTCTACAAAACGACCTCAGCCTCCTGCCAGATGGAAGGGGCACACACAGGTTCTTGTCCGGGGTCGGCCGCCATCTTTCTAGCTCGCTTCAGAGACCCGGGAGCGAACGAGTCCTGCGGGGACGGCAGGTTGCAGCCGATCAGCCGCTCTGCAGAGAAAATGACTCTTACTTCTTCTTGGTTTGTCCACGACGTCATGGTTTTCGATCCCTAGTTTCGGGTCTTCAGCGTGAGGTTCACGCGTCGCCGAGGCCTCAAAGCCGCAGTCTGCTTTTCGTACACTTCTTGACGCAAACACAGACGTTATGCCAGAGGTCAGAGGTCATGGCTCCTCGGTTTCCCCGTCTTTCTTTTTGGCCCAGAAGTCAAGACACAGAAACTCAGTGTTCAGGAAGCAACTTCCCGAGGAGACCGTCACCATTTATTACCATTGACCCACATCGCTTGATCCTCAATGACTACTTTCTGTCTTCTGCGTGTGCGTGTGCGTGCTTGTGTGTGTGTGTGTGTGTGTGGAATGTTCTGCTGGACGGCGTCTCACACACACACACACACACACAAAGTGACTGCTGTCCTCGACACCAGAGGCCTCGGGGACTAGAAGGTGCAGACGCCGTTGCAGATGGTGATCTCGCATCGTCTCTCGTGACCTCCGGGCCAGCGGCTACAGGGGGGACACACCGTGTGGACGAGTGTCCCCGGTCATTTGTTTGCATGCGAGTATCAGATCCCCGTCGGCGTGACGGACGCCCGGATGCTTCGCTCCTCCTCACCTCAAGGAGAACGATTGCAACGTCGACGTGCCGTCAGAAACCATTCAATCACTGAGTGTCAATCGTGGTATTGATTATTAACTGTCGCGAAGGTCCCTGAGCGCACGTCTCCTTTAACTGATCCTAACGGGGGCGAAGCCGTTTATAAAGGCGGAGCCTCCGCAAGTCTTTAGATTCCAGTGTTTTCCCTTTTCTTTAAATAAGCGATGAACGAAACTCCACATCGGCTCTCGTGCTTGAACGCGAAACATGATGAGCCATTCT